AGAAAGATTGGCTATAATAAATAAGTAAGCAGAGAATATTCAGGGTCATGCTTAGACTAGGTATATGCTAAAGCATGATGGGATGAAAGCAGCACTAATTTACTGAAGTAAATGGATCAGAGTTCTGACATTTACATAAAACCTTATAATAGAGTTAGATTTGAAGAAGCTTCTGTCAGCAAGTATCACATATCTGTGTGTTCACATTCATTACTGGATACATTTGAGAAACAATGGAAAGATTTCTCTTCTACTATAGAAACAATATGACACATTATTTTCATGACAGTCTGTGGAAATCAGTAAAACAAAATGAACACAGCAGCATCTTTTAAATGTGTACAAAATTGCTTAGGATTTAGCTATTTCAGGAATATATAGTCCATAAATAGTTAGCTGCTTTCAATTTGATATGCCAAAAATTGAGTACTTTTCTTGAACATATGTTTTAGAGATTTCTAGGGGAAATAGTGTGCAAGCAATAACTCATATGAAGAAGTATTAAATATATACAATGTGAAAAACAAGCTGATCTGATGTGTCAGAATTAAAGAATCTTATTTCTACTACCTAAGTAGGAACTACTTGCTTTTGCTGTTGGTACTTCTTTTGAAAAATAAATTCTTCAGTTTTTGTTCAGGAGCTGAAAGCACTTAGATATGGAAAAGTCTTTTAGGAGATGCTTGTGCATGACTTCAGCTCAGGCTCAAATGATTCCAATAAATGGATTAAAGCTGGCTTTCTTAACTTTAAAGAACAGTGACTAAAGAAATCATGTCTGCCTCTATTCAACCCAGTATTTTAAAGTCTCCAAGTGTATTTTTGTCCAAGTGAAGTTCAGACAATTCATGACACTTCATTTCTTGACATAATTTTTTTACTCTTTAGAAATTGCCAGTCTTTAGCCTGAATTGTGTTTATGCAGTAGCCAAACTTTCTTCATAGTCCTATCCTCCATGATTGAATATTGGAGTAATGGTGATAGTTTATAGATTGGACATGCTCTTTAGCATCTTACTTCCTTCTGCTGTTCTTTGGTTATTTTTATAGCTCATGAATCACATCCAGCTAGAAGGAAGTATGAAAATTAAGTAGTTTGTTTTTTACTGTTACATTTTTATACTGAGTAGTGGGTTACATAGAGTTTATACATATCTCTGTGATGCATTTGTATTACTTTGTTCACCAAGAAATAATTACATAAAAAGGGCATGCCAGAAAGATAGAGTGATTTAAATCCCTTGGGATATTTCCTCCTATAATGGTGTGGAAATTCCATGATTATAGAACTTCTAATATTCAGTTGTGTGGTGGTAAATATCTTTTCAGTTGGCTCTGCCTTATCCAACTGTGCTTTTTCACCATTACAAGGGCATCATCAGCCTGGGTGAGAATTCTGGGTGAGAACAGGGATTAGTTAGGTGCCAGTAAACAGTGAGTTAAGGGGTCAGGAAGTACCAAATAGCAACAGAAAATTCATATGCCCTATATACCAACTGTTATGGCTGTTCCTTAGTATTTGTTCTCATTTATCATTGACATGCATAAAATGTTAAAGTTTTTTTATGTTAGGAAATAATTGAGAGTGTGGGCTCAGTTCAGATTCCAAATCCATGGTTCATCAGCTGTGTGCTCTGGACAAAGCTTCTTAACCTACCCAAACTACAGTTATTCAGCTTGTGTAATGAAACAAAAATCATAACTATACCTACCTCAAAGAGTAGTCATAAAGATTAAATGAGTTTGTGAAAAGCACATAGAATAGTCAGTTGCATAGTAAATGGTTAATAAATATGAGCTACCATTAGTTATTATTGTATTTTTTATTTGTAAAATCTACCTTCTGTTAAAAGGTATACTTATTCTCCCTGTTTGGAATATTGAAAAGAAAGTCATCACAGTGTGCTATATCTTTCAAAGTATTTATTGTCCTATATCTATCTGTACAACTTATTTGACTATACTTAAATAACAACATCAGGTTGTGTTACTTTAAGCACAGTTAAATGAGGCCACTGTTGTATTATGTGGGCATAAATTAAAATGGCCTCATTTCTCTTGTTATGTAAATTTGAAATCAACATCGTTATTTTACTTAATAAATGAGGTTTCCAGAAAATAGAGCAATGGTGAAACAAATGTATACACACATACATATATATTTAAATGACTTTTTTTTTTTTAATCTGTTAAAAGAATGTTCTCTAGGGTATTGTTTCTATCATCACCCCAAACTAAAATTTATACCTGAAGTTGTTATGGTGCTTTCTAGAAAGGATTAATATTATCCAATATGAAGTACTTTCTGAACACCATTATAATCTTACTAAAATTCATACTGTAAATTATAGCCATTACAATGGCTTAAAAATACAGAAAATCTTTAAAATTTAGGCATGCTTTCTCATGTTTTAACAAATATAAAAGAATTTGTATTATTGAAATTTATGAACCTGGTTATTATATCCAGTATACTTTAAATAGAATCATATTTTAATTTTTTGACCATGTAATGTACTCATTGTGTACCAGCAATGTATTAAGTATTGAGATTACAGATGGGAAGAAGTAAAAATTTCATGGGAATACAAAGTTATGAGAATAAGCATATTGAGAGTTGTATTTCTGGAATACACAGTGTTAGAAAAATACAGAAAACAAAATATAACATCACTCTGAGGAGTGGTAATGGAAAGCAAAAGATGCAGAAAATAATTCAAAATAAGTAGCTTAAGATGAGAGTTTAAGGATGATTATGACAAAGGCAGGGAGTTGAAGATAAATACCAAGACCTTCTGGGCAGAGGAAACCATATGTAGTAAACCAGAAGCAAGAGAAAAATCACACTTTGGGAGCATGAGCAAAATGGTCATTATAATACTAGTGAAAAAAGCCTTCGAGAATGTGGCTAGAACTGAGTCCTAATATGTAGGCATCATACTCTCATGCTTTCTATAAATCTGTCAAAGTTTATGAACATTTTCTGAAGGAAAGAGAGAATTTTGAAGGCAAGAGGGAATCATGGAAAGATTTTCAAGTAAAGTTTTGTTTCCACAGTTGCATTTTACAAAATTCCTGTAGAAACAAAACTGGAGCAGCAAAGTTGGAGGTAGGTTGGAAGAGAGCCCAATTAGTGGAATGGAAACCAAGTATAAGCAGTTATAATAGAGAACATTATGAATTAAGGCAGTGAATATGAGAAGAAAAAAGAGAATTGGAAATTTTGAATTTTATTTAGAAGGTAAAATTGATAGCACTTTGTGATTCATGTCTTTCTAAGTGAGGGAAGAATCAGCATTATTTTCCAAAACTGAAGATGGTGGTGCTGCTCACTGAGAGGATAACTATAGAAGAACAAAACAGAGAAGTAATCTCATCATATGTTAGATTTTACATATGAAGCTGCCCATATGTTGTGGGGTTTCCTAATAAAAATAACTTTTGATTGGCTGTTAGAAACTCAGATTTAAAATTCTTAATATATAACTAGAAAATAAAGGAGGCAGAGATATCAACTCTGATGATTACTTACTATGAACAGCATCTGTTATGTAGTAGGTGGTAAGGCAATGGTATAACTTAAAATAAGCATAAAAATCTGAACCTCAGAAAATAAAGTGCCAGGAAAATGGAGACAAAAAATAAAAGTAGAAACAAAATGCCTTTGAAACTAAGGGACAGGAGTGGTTAAGATAGAAAAGCCTTAACAGAAGTATAGGAACTTTTTGAAAACGTGCATGCCATCCTGTCACGTGTGACTAGCTCTGGGATGTGAAATTAAAGAGAATAGCACGAACTGGGGAATTAAATTTTGTATTTGAATTTTTAAAACATAATATGTTGTATTTTTGTGACTGTACATTTTTGTATTTCTGTATATTTTTGTAACTTCTGTGAACATTTATGTATTATAAAATTAAAAGGAAATTCATCTTAAAATGTAAGTTAGAGTCAATTGAAAATGAAAAATAAGAAATCAGAACAGAAAAAAAAGAGGAAAAGGGCCATATGGAGTGATCAACAATGTCATACTACAGATTGGTTAAAAAAAGATGAGGGCTGACAGGAGCCTTTGAGCTTGATATTTAGAGTTGGTCACAAATGACCTTATTAAAAGCAATTTAAATAAAAGACTAGGGACAGAAGCTTGACCACAGTTGTTAGAAAGCAGAAAGTGAGAACAAGATGGGGGTTGGGGGGCATAGCTATCTCATAATGGAGAGGCTTAGGTATGAAGAAAGAGATGTTAGATAGGGATTTTGGGTCCAAGATGGGAAAACTGTTTTTGCTCAAGGTCCTTATGGTAATAAGAAGGAGATTCGTGCAAGCTACCTTATTCATGGAGGGGTATTAGGAGTCATTCAGGAAAGTGAAGGGATATAGAAAGTTCACTTGTCAGCCTCCATTCATGGCACAGCTGTTTTTCTAAAACTGGGATTTGTAAGGGTTTTTTGTTTGGATTGGTTTTGTTGTTGTTGTTTGGAACTGGAAATTGAACCCAGGGTGTGTGGGGTGGTGTTTTACCTCTGAGTCATTTTTTAAATTTTTTTATGTTGAGGGTTTCACTAAGATACTAAGGATCTTGCTAAGTTGCTGAGGCTGATTTCGAACTTGTGATCATCCTACCTCAGCCTCTCTAGCCACTGGAGTTATAGGTGTGCATCTCTGTGCCTGCATGGCAGGTGGTTTTATAAGGAAGTGAAAAAATCCATCAGCAAGATTCCTTTGAGTGAAGTTAACAACAGAGCTTATTTGGCAGCTGAAGAGAGCCAACCCCCTAAAGTATAGAAGGGTGCTGAGATACCTTTTTAAGAAATGTACCTTTAATTTGGAAAGTACACCCAACTATTTCCAGGAATTAAGTTTCTTACAAAAATGAAAAACTTGTCATATTCCAAAGACTAAATTGTCTATTTTAAATAGACCCATATTAGAAGATAAATTAATCAGATGATATAAATCAGCTAGTAAATTTCTCCTTTCTTCTTCTTCTTCTAAAGCCGAGCAACAACTTATCCTTACACAGAAACACAGATGTACAGCCAAAACACTGGAGGAAATTACTTTGATACTCAAGGGAGTTCTGCACAGGTGACTACCGTGGTCTCCTCCCACAGTATGGTGGGTACTGGTGGGATCCAGATGGGTGTCACAGGAGGTCAACTCATCAGCAGCTCTGGAGGAACCTATCTGATTGGCAATTCAATGGAGAATTCTGGTCACTCAGTGACACACACTACTCGGGCCTCCCCAGCAACAGTAAGTATTCATTTGGTCAGTTTAGCTTCTTGATGACTTCTGTTGTACATTATTTCCTCTGTAGGGGAAAAGAACCACAAAGACTGGACTGGGGCAAGAATGTGTTAAGCAATTATAGTATTATGATAGTGTATAGCATGTAGTATATATATATATATATATATTATTACATAGAATGTTACTGATATGTGTGCCCCCAATTAAATGAATTAGGAACTTTTTATCAGTAATAGGAAGTTAGAGTTGAGTTGTACTCCTAAACTGCTGATTTTAATAGGCTTTCTTCAGTGATATTATTAAATACTTGCAATTTCTATTGAAATAACTTTTTATTATGCTACTTACTTTATAAGGTAAATGTCAATTAGTAAAATAGAAAATAAAATATAGTTTAATGTGGAATTTTCCTCAGTTTTCTTCACTTGCGTTTATTCCAGCTCATTCACAGAGGTGTTAGTTATGTAGGACAGTTTTCCCGTACCTTAGATATTTAAGTTTTATCATATTCACCTGCTGCCTGTAATATTATTTACTTAATACATTTTAAGCCTGATTCACTTTTAAAATAAAAAGTCATGTGTAGTTTTGTCCCCTAATTCATATTGAAATCAGTACTTAACTAATAAAATTTAAAAAGGCTGCCCAAGTGCCATTTGTAAAGTCATGTTCTATTCTACCAGAGATTTGTGAAGCACATATACAGTTGATTCAGATGAAAAATATTTATGTTGGGGCAGGGGTTGTGGCTCAGCAGTAGCAAACTTGCCTGGCATGTTTGTATCTGGGATTTCAAGTTTTTAAAATTAAATACTTTGACACAATATACTTTAATGTGTTCAAATGATGTCACAGAAATAATCATAGAAAGTAGTATAAGATTAAATATCAAACTTAATAACCTGAATTTCTTATTTTTATATCAACCAAGCATATAAGAGAGAATGATCATTTAAATTGAAGTAGCAGTGAAATTGATTTTATAGATATTTCATATAAAAGGGTAGTAGGGATTTGAACTAAGTAGATGTATCCTTTTCCCACCATCTTACCATAGAGTTTGTTCTTGAAATGAAATAAGGTAGAAATAAAGTTGGGAGAAATACTAAGAGAGATTTATATTTATTATTTAGTGGGTTTTCTTCAAGATGTTATATGTATGTGGTAAGTACTTTGCGTATTTGTGATGATTACATATGTTCACACTTTCATCATTTAGTGATTTTTTTCCCTAATCCATTTTTAAAGCCTTTTGTTTTTAATTCAGGATTTGTTATTAACATCAGAATAGATAACTAGCTGTTCTAAATGGAGAGTCCCTTTCTGTAATTTGTGCTTTTGAAGCATTTTGTGTATTTGTCTTGGGCTGTTACTGATATTAAATATAGTATTTCTAAACCTTTTGGTCACACCAGTATGTTTATATAGATTAGAAAGTAAAGAGAATTGCCATTAATAAATCATAGACTCTCCGGACCTCAGTTCCCCTATCAATAAAATAAGGGGTTGTTTAAAGTAAATTATTTCCTAATTTCCTTCTGGCTTTTAAGAGTCACAGTATTTTTTTTTTAAATTATAAAATACTATGTAAACATAACCACAAAATGAAAAGGAGAAAAAAGATACCAGTACTTGATAGCACTCCTAATGAAGGCCACCTAGAAAGTTATTTTCCATGCGAATTCAAGTACTTGCCACTTATTGAGGCCCTAGGAAAACTGAAAAGCAAGGCAAATGTGTACTTTCACACTTTTCTTTTCATCTACCCTCTCTCATGTTGGTATCCCATCCTTTCCTACCTTACCTTCTCTTGCCATTCCCACTTGCCTTCACACTTATTTTAGCTACTTGTTAAACATCCCCAGCAACCATATTTAGGTTTATTAAACCTACTAGTTCTATCACTAAATTAGCTAAGATGTATATTCCAAGTCATGTAAATATATTTTCAAACATTAACAGAAAAAATATATATAAATACAAATATATAAACATATATATATATATATGTTTATATATTTGTATTTTTATATATATACATGTGTATATATATATTTAGTTAGATGGATAGAATTTTTTGATGAAGGTCTTCTCTATAGTACAGGAAAGGTAACATTACCCCTTCAGTTACCCAATACACAAATATGATATGTGATTTTTACTACATTCATCAATAAATTAGACACATAAAATTACTAAATATAATTGGCAATGTTTGAAAATTCTTCTAAGAATCATCAATTCATAATATCAATTATACATATTCATTTACATTTTAAAATATTCATATTTGAGATTGATTTCTTAATGATGAAAATTCTGTCTGAAATTATTTTGGGGTTGTTTTCCTTTTTAATAAGAATATTTTTTATTTTTTAACAAAAAGTATAAAAATTGAAGATATCTTTTATATGAAAATAAAACACAATGTACCCTCATCAAATCCCATGTGGTGGTACACACTTATCTACTAGTGTTTATAGCATTACCTTGCATTTATTACCAAAGGATGTATTTTATTTAGATCCCCCTCTCAATCTGAAGGTTTTCATGAGTTTGATTCAGAGTGACAAAATGATTCCCAGTATGCACTTCACATTATAGTAGTAAAGTTAGCAGTGTTTAATAAGGACTGTGGACCTAATTAAGATTTTCTACCAGCCTCTTCTTACCAAATGTCAGAAAATTGGTCAATTTTTGTTTGTTTCAACTTGTAGAAATCAAGGCTTTTTTTTTTTTTTTTTTTAAGTAGGTGCTAGTTTGCCAGTTAATTGAAGGGAATTTGCTTGAATTCATCTTTTTTGTTTATCATAGAACCACACAAAATGGTGTATTTGAGCACAATCTTTGGCAACTACTTGGTCAAGATTCAATCTATTTCTTTCCAAATATTGGGCCAAACTGTACTACACTTAGTTCAGTTTTTCTGGTTATTCTTCTTGCTCAACCTATAACCTATAGCATGAATGATTCAACTGACTACATAGTAGTATCCTATATTGTGGACAAAATTCCTGACTGGAAATTATGCAGTCAGCTCTTTATATCTACAGGTTTCACATCCATGTATTCAACCAACCTCAGGTAGAAAATATCCCCAAAAAAAGAAATTTGTATATGTACTGAACATGTACAGATTTTTTGTCACTATTCCCTAAATGATATAATGTAATAACTGTTTATATAGTATTTACATTTAAGTGGGTATTGTAAATAATAAATAATCTAGACATGATTTAAAATATACAGGAGGGGGTGCTCATAGGTTTTATACAACTGCTACACCATTTTACATAACGGACTTGAGAATCTACAGCTTTTGGTGTCTGAGGAGGTTCCTAGAACCAGTAGCCTGTGAATACCAAGGAATTTTTTAGTCAACTGGACTATTGCTTACAAGCTTAGAAGTAAGTGGAATGTAGAATCAATATATTCAGTTGATGTGGAACTAGTTAAATTTGGATACTTGGGAATAGCAACTGCCCACTCTTATTCAATTCCTGGCTAACAAATTTTCTTGCAATAGTTCTCAGAAAAATTGTGTTGACTCTCTTTTACATTCAAACTATTTCTATACAGACATACATTCATTTAGAATTATTAGGAATGATATCCTGCCACAAAGAAAAGTTTACCTTAATGTATAAACAGTTTCTCAAGGTATACATTGATGAAGAAAGCTGGTTGTTTTATGCTCATCATAGCATAGTTTATCTTAAACTATACAATAATTAGTAATATGCTTTAAAAAGCTTTATTTGCGCCTCCTTTTAGTGTTTCTATTCCTATAATCAAACAGAGTTTGATTTGTTGAGTTTTGGCGGTTTTAATAATAAAATAAGATTACTTTAAGCATTTCAGACTGGGCTATGAAAGCTAATCTTAACGCCTTTATTTATTTACTTTTAGTAATTATGTATGTTAAATGGCTTTTGCTAAGATTAGATTTCAATAACAAGCATAAGGAAAATGTTTTGAAATTGTTATTCATATTTCTTTCATTAATATAAAATATTATAATTTACTTTAGTTTTTGGAAGAAAATATGAATGTCTATCTGCTGTAAAAGTTTAGCTTAACTTATTTATGAAAGCTAAGAGTTTGTATCAGACTTTTAGGTACTTTTATTTTTTTATCCTTGGGTTTATATGCTTATGAATTTGGAATAGGGAAATGCTTTTTCTAGGATGAATGTTTTTAGTTCCCTGAAAAATCATTTTACCTTCTTATTTTTTTTGCTGATATGATGCCAATGGCCATTTGCTTTGTTTGAAATTTTTTGTTAATTTCATTTCTTAGAACCAACCAATGTTATCATGTTCTTTAAGCATCATTTGAGAAACATTCTTTGAATATACAAGCAGAATTCCTTTAATTTTTTCAGATATATTATAGCAAAAATACTTAATTTTGCTTTCCCCCTACCTTACAGCATGATTTGGGAGTTTGTTTTTTCATATCAGTACATTGAAGGACTCCTTATATTTATAAAAAGTGATTATATTAAAAGTAGCTGAGCTGGGTGCAGTGGTGCACGACTGTAATTAACTGTAATCCTAGAAACTTCGGAGATTGAGGCAGGAGGATGGCAGGTTTGAGGCCGGCATTTACAACTTTAGACAGAGCCTGTCTCAAAATAAAAAGTACAAGGACTAGGGATGTAAATCAGTGGTACTGTGCCACTGAATTCAATCCCCAATACCACCCTTCGCCAAAAGAAAAGTAGCTGAGTTGTTCATCTATC